CTGCCTTGCTTGGAACAGTAGATGGATGGCTTGTTGACTTTCCACCAACTACAGTGTAATTTCATGAGGCAAAGTACCTTTAGTTTTGTACACTGATATAGCTATCCTTATACCTTGAACATGCCTGAAACATGGAAAGGATACAAACACATTTGCTGAAATACCGAACAAATTGACAATAGAGATTTATATTCATTTGTACCATCTGAAACTGCTTGCAGCTCTGCTGACTCACTGTCTCTTCCTCCAACTTCGCTACCCTAGTGCTCTCAGGAAAAGAAAGGAGTCATATTTTGGAAATAATTTATTTAAATTCATTAAAAAAGCGGGCGCGGTGGCTCACGCCTGCAATCCTAACACTCTGGGAGGCCGAGGCGACAGATTGCTCGAGGTCAGGAGTTCAAAACAGCCTGAGCAAGAGCGAGACCCTGTTCTCTACCAAAAAATAGAAGAAATTAATTGGCAACTAATATATATAGAAAAATTAGCTGGCATGGTGGCGCATGCTTGTAGTCCTAGCTACTTGGGAGGCTGAGGCAGGAGAATCGCCAGAGCCCAGGAGTTTGAGGTTGCTGTGAGCTAGGCTGACGCCACGGCACTCACTCTAGCCTGGGCAACAAAGCGAGACTCTGTCTCAAAAAATAAATAAATAAATCATTAAAAAGTTAGTAACATGTGCTTAACTTCCTCTTTCACTTATTATATGTGTGTTCTGTGCTCATCTTCCATTGGGCTTTTTTGTTGTTTATTTCAAACGTTGGTTCCTCGTTTCTTCTGCCTCTCCTGTTGTATATCTTTATTACTTTTAATGGGTGTCAGGAGCTGACACCATTCACACGTTTCAGAGATAATCTCGATCCCCATGAAGATGCTATCAGTGCAATGACAGCGAAATGACAATCACTTCCCAGAGCAGATGAGATCATGGAATCCAGACGCGCACCTCAGGTCCGTCCACGCCTACCCAGGCCCGAGGCCGCCGCGCGCCCGCCGTCTGCCCGCCCACGGCCTGCATTGGTGAGCAGCTTTCTCCTCAAATAAGTGTCCAATACTTAGAATTACCTCAATGAATCCAAAATACTTTAAAAAAAAAATCGAAACTTCTGAGGTTGATATTAAAAAGGAACGCAACACTGTTAGGCGATAGCCAGCCAGATATAGGAGCAGCCGGCAGACGCAGACCAGCAGCCTGCCGGCCTCTCCTCTCCTGGTAGATTCTTCCTGAAATTCTTCTTATTTATTTTTATTCTTTTAATTAATTAATCAATTTTTTCTGACTCAGAGTCTCCCTCTGTTGCCCAGGCTGAGTGCCGTGCGTCAGCCTCGCTCAGCAGCAACCTCAGATTCCTGGCTCAACCATCCTCCCGCCTCAGCCTCCGGAGTAGCTGGGACTACAGGCATGCGCCACCATGCCGGCTAATTTTTTCTATATTATTTTAGTTGCCAATTAATTTTCTTTCTATTTATAGTAGAGATGGGATCTCGCTCCTGCTCAGGCTGTCTTGAACTCCTGACTCGAGTGATCTCCCCGCCTCGCCTCCCAGAGTGCTGGGATTACAGGTGTGAGCCACTCGCGCCGGCGTTATTATTTTTTTAACAATGACAGATATCCGTAGCCTGGGTTTGAAGTATGTAGACACTAATGCCCCTTACTAAACACAACATTGCTTGGCATTCTCTCCAAAGGCTTCAGGACGCGGCGGTGTAATTAGATAGAGAGGGCTCCCGCCACTGAGTAGACACTTAGAGTCGTGTGGACAGCCGCCGGTGTGTGATGGCGTGTTGTTTTGTGTTGGAAAGGGCACGTGTGTTAGATGCAGCCTTTATAACATGTCTTTTGGTTTCTACTAATCAGGGAAGGCTGCTGCCATGTGTTTCCAAAATAAGACAGGGTCTTATATTATTTTTCCTCAAGAAGACACCCTAGGGCTATTTTTCGGGGATGTTTATTTTTTTTAAGTACGTACAACCGTCTACATGTATTCAAATAGAATGAAGGCGTCTTCTGAGCATCATCACACTCTCCAAACCCCGAATTCCCATCCTGAATGTCTTGCGACTCTGTTTCCTTTAGACCACCGGCCGATCTCCCCGTGGAGCCACAGAGCTGTCACGGGCGGATGAGAAGGGCTGCTCTGCGTCTTTCCCGCTCCGCGCCGACACGCATGCGCTGTGCAGACGCGCCGCGTGGCACGCCGTCACTAGGGCTTTTCGGGCTGGGCTTCTATTGCGCATGTCAGACATCCTGCTAGGGCTTAGTTTATGGGTAGGGCTTATTTTCGGGGAAACACGTAATAGCATCTCTCTGTTAGACCAATGAGAGGTTCCTTTATCTCCAATTATAAGAAATGAATTTTATGTAAAGATGCATAAGGCAAATAAGATTATGAAGTATGGATAGATACAGTCTTTAATAGTCTGAGACGTACAATTGTTAAACTGAAAGTAACCAAAATTAAAGAAAAAAACACCTTATAGTCTATTCTCACACTTATTCTGATGTCTCTATCCCCAAAGGGCCAAGCGCAGCCACTCCGGAATGGTTGAAGATATAATTATATCTATGATTAATACTCTTTCTATCTATCTGCCATAGTTCCTTGGCCGCCATGGGGTATTGGTTCCAAGATTTTGTGACACTCAAATCTGCAGATGCTCGAGTCCTTATAATAAAATGGCATATATTACATATAACCTGTGCACATCCTTTTATATAGTTTATTATATTATATTTATCTATTTTTATCTATTTTTTAAGATAGGGCCTCACTCTGTTGCCCAGGCTAGAATGCAGTGGTATCATCATAGCTCACAGCAACCTCAAATCCTGGGTTCTAGTGATCTTCCTGCCTCAGCCTCCCAAGTAGCTGGGACTATAGGTGAATGCCACCACGCCTGGCTAATTTTTCTGTTTTTTAGGGAAGGGGTCTTTCTCTTGCTCAGGCTTGTCTCAAACTCCTGACTCAAGCAATCCTATCTTGGCCTCCCAAAGTGCTAGGATTACAGGTGTGAGCCACCACACCTGGCCCATTTGTATACTTTAAATCATCTCTAGATTACTTATAATATTTAATACAATATAAATGCTATGCAAATAGTTCTTTTTTTTTTTTTTGAGACAGAGTCTCGCTTTGTTGTCCCGGCTAGAGTGATGCCGTTGCGTCAGCCTAGCTCACGCAACCTCAAACTCCTGGCTCAAGCGATCCTCCTGCCTCAGCCTCCGAGTAGCTGGGACTACAGGCATGCGCCACCATGCCGGCTAATTTTTTCTATATATATTAGTTAGCCAATTAATTTCTTTCTATTTATAGTAGGAGACGGGGTCTCGCTCTTGCTCAGGCTGGTTTCGAACTCTGACCTCGAGCAGTCCGCCTGCCTCGGCCTCCCAGAGAGCTAGGATTACAGGCCTGACCCACTGGGCTGGGCCTATTTTTCTCTTTCTTAAGAAGATAATACATAGATCCTTGTAGTAGGCTAATGTCCAACCTTCTATTACCTTGTGTCCCACTGAAGTTGCTTAATATGTTCCATTTATATTCAATAAATGTATAATTCTCAATAAGCTTGATTAAATTCAGATGGAGTTTACTGTCAAAAAATCCTTCAGGGATATCTCACAGAGAGTATAGAGTGCTCCTCTAATGACTTCCCACTGTGTGAGAGAATGTAACATTTTGCTATTTAAATCAATTGTTATTTTTTAACTCATTAGAAAGAGTTTTCTTAAAATAAGGACTTCTTATCATCTGTTTTTTGTTTTGTTTGGTTTTTGAGACAGGGTCTCACTCTGTTGCCCGGGCTAGGGTGCCGTGGTGTCAGCTTTGCTCACAGCAACCTTCAACTCCTGGGCTCAAGGGATCCTCCCGAGTAGCTGGGACTACAGGCATGCACCACCATGCCGGCTAAATTTTTCTATATATATTTTAGTTGTCCAGCTAATTTTTTTCTAGTTTTTTAGTAGAGACGTGGTCTCACTCTTGCCCAGGCTGATCTTGAACTCGTAAGCTCAAACGATCCACCCGCCTTGGCCTCCCAGAGTGCTAGGATTACAGGCGTGAGCCACCGCGCCTGGCCCTTCTCATCATCTATTTTGATTACTTGAAAATAGTCCATGCAGAGAAAGCAGGAGAAATGATTGATATTTCCCCTTTATTAATCAGTCTTAGGAAAAAGTGTTGGCTTACATAATATCTTAACCATTGTAATGATTAATATAATATATAACATAAACAAAATAAGCCAATTAACATACATGTAAATAACATTTTTTAAACATATGTGTTGAGTTTGAAATCTTTGGAGTTACTCTTTCTTTTATGATTGATTTATATAAATATTATGCAGTGAAATTCCCTTCCAAGTGAATTACGTTTTCCCTGATAATAAATTCAGGTTTTCTTGAACATCATAGATTCCTTACTTGATGAGAAATTTGGGGGTTAACTTAGGTGATTTGAAATCAGCATTTATTTTGAGAATCCTTTGCTTTTTTTTTTAGTGAGAGTTGGCATTTAGATAATCTGGGCTGGGCACAGTGGCTCACGCCTGTAATCCTAGCGCTCTGGAAGGCCGTGGCAGGAGGATCACTTGAGCTCAGGAGTTCAAGACCAGCCTGAGCAAGAGTGAGCCCCTATCTCTATCAAAAAGAAAAAGAAAAAAGTAAAAACAAAGCAAAACAGAAAGAAAAAGAGGAGTTTGAGGCTGCCATGTGCTATGATCATGCCACTGCGCTGTAGCCTGGCCGACGGAGTGAGACCCGGCTCTCTTAAAAAAAAAAGGGTTTTGAAAAAAATCTAGGTGTTGAAGATGCTCATGGTCATTGCTGACGATGTCCAGCCCTTTTCAATGTGAAATCACACGAAATATATATGTTTAAAATAGAATATAGTCGTGTCACTTAACGATAGGGATATATTCTAGAAATGTCTCTTTTAGGTGATTTCATTGTTGTTGAACAAAAACTTAGATTGTGTTGCTGACTTACACCTAGGGCAGACGAGATGGCCGCTGCTCTGCCCCGTGGGGTGTGCGGTCGCCAGTGCTGCAGTGAGGGTGTGTGGCTCATAGCTGCACAGCGTGAGTTAATGCCCATTCTTCCCAAACTATAAGATTTAGAGTTTATTTAAATTCGTTGAGTTAGTATTTGTACTTCCTTTGCCCTATGCCAAAAGCCATGTTTACTGATTACGTTGTAGGCTTGTTTATTTGTTTCAATGCATCAACACCAATGATGTTTACTAAAATATAGTTATGGACAAGATTTCACAATGTCTTATTTTTGTCTTGCATGTCCCTAGACATTTTAATTGACAGTTTAATTGAAATGATCATAGATTTACAAGCAGTTTAAGAAATAATACACAGAGACAGCCTCTGTACACATAGCCCGATTTCTGCCCATGGTGACATTTGACATCTGAAGTATAATTGCACAACAGTGAGATTGACTTTGATATATGTGCTTTTTTGTTTTTTCCTAATTTTACTTGCACCGATTTGTGTGAATGTGTGTGTGTGTATGTGTCCCCTGAGTTTAAACCTACTTGAAGATTATTTTTCTTTGCATGGATAGGCCACTATGCAAAGCCAAAACTAGGATCACTTTTTCTTTTAATTTTCATTTTGTGAGTTTTAAAAATTTCATTCTGATTTAATATTACCTAGTAATTGGGTCGGTCGCGGTGGCTCACGCCTGTAATCCTAACACTCTGGGAGGCTGAGGCGGGCAGATCCCTCAAGGTCAAGAGTTTGAAACCAGCTTGAGCAAGATCAAGAGCCCCGTCTCTACTACAAGTAGAAGGAAATTAATTGGACAACTAAAAATATACAGAAAAAATTGGCCGGGCATGGTGGCGCATGCCTGCAGTCCCAGCTACTCGGGAGGCTGAGGCAGGAGGATCGCTTGAGCCCAGGAGTCTGAGGTTGCTGTGAGCTAGGCTGACGCCACGGCACTCTAGCCCTGGCAACAGAGTGAGACTCTGTCTCAAAAAAACAAAAAGAGATTATCTAGTAATTACATAAAATGTTTACATTTGAAAAATGTTGAAGGCATATCACAAAAAATTTCATGAAAGCCTCTCATTTTTTCTGTCCCTGCACCATGTCACCCCTGTCCCTCTATGTAGATGCTCTTCTCTACCTAGCGTACTTCATACATTGTTCTGGGCTGTGCCTTTTTCACTTAAGTATATGTCCTCGGGAAAATACTATATATCCAGTTCTGCTGGAATGCAACCTATATGTCCATAGAAATTACTGAGCTATACAAAATCAGCAGTTAAAAAGTACAGAAATTAATGGGACCCCCCCAAAAAATATCAGGAAAAACAAGCCAGAAACCTGCAAACATGGCAACATACTTTATTTATGTAAAATAGTTAATAAATACATAAATGCTATGATAAGTATGACACTTTTCCTTAAAAAGACTTGAAGTTTGCTGTGGAAGTTGGGGGTCAGAAGGGTCACAGCTTATGATTTACTGGGAAGTGGTAAAAAGAAGGGTCTATAGAACTAGGTGTGGATGGGCGCAGCTCATAACACGTGGTAAACTCCGATGTGTGTTTGGTTCACGTTGTGTTTTCCTTCAACTTGGTGCAACGGGGCGCAGTTTTCTACATTCATCTAGTTCTTGCAAGCAATATCACGCACAAGCCAACAAAATTCTTTATGTTCATACTAGTATGTCAATCATATTGGAACAAATTCACATCTTCAAAACTAGGATGATTGTAAAACTTACTGCATTTGAACACAGAGGTCTCTGTCTTTCCTATCTGCGGCTGTAGAGACCTGTCGTGCACGTGTGCCTTCATCCATTCACCGGATTCTCTGCAGATTGGACACATAGGCTAATTCCAGTGCAGGTTTCTGTGAATTTCCTTTGCACAAAGAAACACAAAATATTAATTCCTGTTTAAAGTGAGAAAATATGGTTAGAGTAAACACTGAAAACTGCCTCCAGTGATGGTAAGACATTTATTTGTACTTTTTTCCCCCACTGATTTTTCTAACTTCAATGCAAATCAATATGCCCTAGATACTAATGGAATGGCTTCTGGAAAATTGCAAATTGGGATTATCTTCCTCAGTCAGAATGGAGTCGGGATCCTGGGGAATGCCTATCTCCTTTATTTTTATAACTTCACTTTGATCTGGATACAAATCAAGACCCATAGACCTGATTCTCACTCAATTAGCCTTAGCCAATGTCTTGGTCCTTTGCTCTAAAGGGATACCGCAGACAATGGCAACTTTTGGATTGAAATATTTTCTGGATAATACTGGATGTAAACTTGTCTTTTATAATCACAGATTGGCCACAGGAGTTTCCTTCAGCACTCTCTGTCTCCTCAATGGATTGCAAGCCATTAAACTCAATCCCAGCATATGCAGGTGGTTGGAGCTAAAGATCAGATCCCTAAAGTTCATTGGCTTCTGTTGTTTTCTCTGCTGGATCCCGCATCTCTTGATAAATACAAGTATTCTTTTTATAGTGAATGGGCCATTGAATACCAGAAACCTTAGTGCGAAAAACACTTATGGATACTGTTCCTGGACAATGCAGGAAAGTTTTGCCATACTATATACTGTCATATATTTTTCCCCTGACTTTATGAGTTTGAGCTTCATGGTTTGGCCCAATGGCTCCATGATCTTTGTCCTGCAGAGACACAAGCAGCGAGTCCAACACATTCATAGGAACAAACTCTCCTCCAGACCTTCCCATGAGGCCAGAGCCACAAGCACCATCTTGATCCTAGTGAGCTCCTTTTTTGCTTTCTATTCAGTCTATACTATTCTGACAATTTGGGTGACTCTAGATGCAAACCCAGGCCAGTGGGTGGTGAACAACTCTGTGTTTGTGGCCTCATGTTTTCCAGCTCTCAGCCCCTTTGTGCTCATCTTCAGTGATACCCGTGTCTCTCAGTTCTGCTTTGGATGTAGGGCATGGTAAACCCTTTTTCCTGAGCTGGTTGCCATGCCATGAGTGTGTTCTCTTCATGGAATTCAGTCATTTATTTAAATATTTAGGAACTATTAAGTGCTGGTAATTTGTGATACCAACATAAACATGGGCTGTATTGTCCCTGTCTAGAGCTAAAAATTAATATCATGGATCCTGCTGTACAAAGAACACCCAATCCAACTGTGTTAGGTACTTTAGGGGTGAAGTTCAGGGAATCTCAAAATAAGTTGATGCAAGGAAACATTTTTGTTTACAGATTTAGGGGAAATACCTCATTATGAGGGATTTTTTTTTTTTTTTTTTTTGAGACAGAGTCTCACTCTGTCACCCTTGCTAGAGTGCAGAGAGTCATCATAGCTTACTGCAGCCTCAAACTCCTGGGCTTACGCGATCCTCCTAGCGTGTTCATGCTTGATAGAAAAATGACACGTCAGGCTGGGCACGGTGGCTCACGCCTATAATCCCAGCACTCTGGGAGGCCGAGGCAGGTGGAACGTTTGAGCTCAGGAGTTCTAGACCAGCCTGAGCAAGAGCGAGACCCCATCTCTACTATAAATAGAAAGAAATTAATTGGCCAAGTAAAAATATATAAAAAAAATTAGCCAGGCATGGTGGTGCATGCTTGTAGTCCCAGCTACTGGGGAGGCTGAGGCAGCAGGATTGCTTGAGCCCAGGAGTTTGAGGTTGCTGTGAGCTAGGCTGACGCCATGGCACTCTAACCCAGGCAATAGCATGAGACTCTGTCTTAAAAAAAAAAAAAAACAACTCTGAAATTATACACCCTGAGGGCATCTCCACATTCTGGCGCATGAGGCTCCAACAAGAATCTCTGCGCTGTGTTGGTTGCCACACTCACTGCTGTGTCCAGCTCCAGGGATCCCTTCCTCAAAAAGTGGTTCAGGTAAAAACTCTGAGTCAGCCCACTCTCTGTCCTGCACTTCCTCTCTGCTTTACTGCAAGATTAAAATGATTTCATGACAAACCTGGAAGTCAAATGACACAGCTAATTCCAAAGGCACATTCCATATTTGGGAATGCTCTGGACAGACCATGGCAGCTCACTGGGGATCCCGGCCCAGCACAGAGAAAACGGTACAGAGAACAGTTCCACTGTCGTGAGGGCGAAATCTATGGGTGTTTAGGGTAAAGGTTTAAACTAAGGTGCAACTGGGTGTTTCATGTTTAAAGGCTCAGAAATTAAAATCTCATATGACTTCTTTTCCATGTAAATTCAGTGATTTTGGTAGCCTTTAACTTTGTGTAAAATATCTATGTTATTATATCAGCAAGCCAACTGAGAGAGCTCAAACCAGAGTGACTTGACTGAAGAAGCCCTAAACTCATTGAAGATTAAGACATTCTGAAAAATTTATTTCCCCCACAAATGGTATTGTCTACCTGAATCTTTAAGATCCACACCTAATCACATACATACTTACGGCCACAAAAGGCACATCAACTATATAGATCCCCAGTTGGAGAGATTTTAAAGGAAAAAAGAAGGAAAAGAAGAGTTGGAGAGAAGAAAAGGAACTGGAAGAGGAAGAGAAAACATAAGGTGAAGAAGAGGAGGAAGTGCAGAAATAGGATGAAGGAGTCTACAGCCACACCACCCTGAACGCGCCCGATCTCGTCTGATGGCAGAAGCTAAGCAGGGTCGGGCCTGGTTGTACTTGGGTGGGAGAAATAGGATGAAGGAGAGAAAGCGGAAGAAGACGAAGGACAAGAAAGAGGAGAGCAAGGAGGATAAGAAGGGGAAGAAGAGGAGAGCCAACAGCAGCATGAGCTGCCACCTCCGCTGCTGCCAAACTGAAATGAATAAAAAGTGCAAAAACAGGCAAAGCCATGTTAGAAGGCAGATGCAAGAAGTTGGAAACGATAAAAGTTAGACATTTTTTTGTTTTGCTGGTTCGTGGTTGAAAGAGAGGCTGACAGAGATGCTAGCAAGCTGACGCTGATCTTTTGAAAATTTTATTTTAATTAACAATAAGTGTATATATTTATTTGGTAGAATGTGACGTAATGGTGTATGTACTCATTGCAGAATGATCAAATGAGGCTAATTAATCTGTCATCTCACATACTTATTATTTTGTGGTGAGAACGTTTATTTTCATCAGAGACTGTTTGCACTATCAAATTTTATTCATACTAATTTGCTTCATCATATGCATGTGTTTTTGTTTTGTTTTGCTTTGTTTTGTTTTGTTTTTGAGACAGGGTTTCACTCTGTCGCCCAGGCTAGAGTTCTGTAGAGTCAGCCTGGCTCACAGTGACCTCAAACTCCTGGACTCAAGCGATCCTTCTGCCTCAGCCTCCCGAGTAGCTGGGACTACAGGCATGTGCCACCATGCCCGGCTAATATTTTTTCTATATATATTAGTTGGCCAATTAATTTCTTTCTATTATTATTATTATTATTTTTTAGCAGAGAGGGGGTCTCGCTCTTGCTCAGGCTGGTCTCGAACTCCTGACCTTGAGCAATCTGCCCTCCCAGAGTGCTAGGATTATAGGTGTGAGCCACCACACCCAGCCAAGAATATTTATAATCTACTCTTTCACCAATTTTGAAATATGTATTATTATTAACTACAGTCACCATGTGCAATAGATCACCAGAACTTATTCCACCTAACTGAAACTTTGAACACTTTGAATATCACCCCCCTTTTTCCATATCCACCTCATGTCCCCAGCCCCTGGTAACCACCATTCTACTCTTTACTTGTATGAGTTTGACTTTTATAGATTCCACATCTAAGTGAGATCGTGAGGTATTTGTCTTCTAACCTTTACTTGGTTGGGTCCTGGCTTCAAAAATGTGTTGACCTAGGAAAAAATTCACTGAACTGTGAAAGTATGATGTATGTACTGCCCTGAGTGGTTCCACAATGGAACTCATATTTGAAAATAACAGGAATTTTTTACTTATCCAAAATTTTTCATAAAATTTGCTCTAAAAAAATTTGAAAGATAATAACAAGCCAACCTGTGCTTCTGAAAGACTGAGGATGTGCCTTCATAGTAAAAATAAAACATGAAGTGTCTGGGAGGCAAAGGCGGGCGGATTGCTCAAGGTCAGGAGTTCAAAACCAGCCTGAGCAAGAGTGAGACCTGCTCTTACTATAAATAGAAAGAAATTATTGGCCAACTTATATATATAGAAAAAATTAGCCAGGCATGGTGGCACATACCTGTACCCAGCTACTTGGGAGGCTGAGGCAGTAGGATGCGCTTGAGCCCAGGAGATTGAGGTTGCTGTGAGCTAGGCTGACGCCAGGCACTCACTCTACCTGGGCAACAAGCAAGACTCTGTCTCAAATAAATAAATACATAAATAAACAGAAGTGTCAAGTGGAATGTCAGAGATATCAACTCTCAACTTAGTACTTAAAGAGATCAAACATTTCATACTTAATAACAATATTCAGAGGCAGGACTTTTAAAGAGGTAATTAAATTAAAAGAGGGCATTAGGTTAGCCCTAGTCCCGTATGACTAGTGTCCTTATAAGAGATTAACACACACACAGACACAGGGCACGTGTACACAGAGGGATTCGCTTTGTGAGAGGCAGCAAGAAGGCAGTCACCTGCCAGCCAATGAGAGAGACATCAGAGAAAACCACTCTGCCAGCCAGCACCTTGATCTTGGGCTTCAGAATTGAAAGAAAATTAATTAAAATTATTTTATTATTTATTAACAAGATAAATAATAATTTCTCTATATTATTTTGTTATGGCATTCCTAGCAAACTAATACAATTACCCATTCACTTACCGTTGGACATTTGATAATTTTTTTAATTTGTTCTAGTTTGGGGTTTCATCAGTAAAGATGGCTAGCTGGTGTGGTGTTGCGCGCCTGTAGTCCTGGTCCCTGTAGTCCTAGTCCTCCTACTTAGGAGGCCAAGGTGAGAGGATTGCTCGAGTCCAGGAGTTGGAGGCTGCAGTGAGCTATGATTGCACAATTGCATTCTAGCCTGGGCAACAGAGCAAGACCCTGTCTCAAACAAAAACAACTTACCATTGAAGACCGAAGTTAAAAAAAAAAAGCTACAGTTGCTGTGACATTCAAATACAAGTATTTCTTGTGGACATATGTTTTTATTCCTCTTAGGGATATGCCTACAAATGAGATAGCTGTGTCCATCTATGTAAGTGCGTATTTAGCTTTAAAAATTACACCCTGTTTTCCAAAGGGTATTTACACCCACTAGCAATGCATGGGAGTTCTAGTTATTTCTCAACTTCAATGACTTGGAAGTCTTGAATTTTTGTCATTCAAATGAGTGTGTACTGGTGTCTCATTGTGTTTTAATTTATATTTACAGTATGATTAATAATGTTGAGAATATTTTCATATTTATTTATCATTCATGCATCTCCTTTGGTGAAATGTGTTCAAAATTTTGTCCTTTGTTAAATCGGATTGTGAATCTTATTATTGTAAGTGTTACTTTTTAAAAATCAAGATACAGTTATTTATTTATTTATTTTTTACTTCCATAGTGTCCCTGCCCAGTATTAGGGCTTTGCCCAGGGACAGAGACCATAGTAGCAGTCTTGGTTCCGGCTGCCCCTCTAAACTTGCTTGGGTTTCCTGGTTGTCTCTCCTGGAGACTATGCAAAGGACAATTATGCAAATCTTCTAGAGATTCACTAATAGCTTTTAATATAGCGGTCCTTTAACATTTTATGTATGCATTCCCAAAACAAATTTAATTAAGCTGATTTTCTAAAGTGTTCAGGTCATTACATAGTAAATTGCATTTTAGGAGCATTTTGTCCTACATAAAGTAAATGTTCTGCTGTTAAGAGTGCAGTTTGATCTACCTTACGGAAAAATAACAGCAAAAGGAGAAGGTGTTGAACCACGGTAGGTGTGGTGGTTACAAAAGTATAGTAATTGTTATTTTAAGTGCATTATTTACAGTTGAATCACACACATATCTCCATTAAGTCAATCTAAATCTAATAAGCACATACTACGAATGACTAATCTGGCAGAGTAGTGGCTGATGAGGAAAGCAAAGAGCGTACCCAAGTAAAACCGAGTATGAATTATGGCATCAATCTTTGGCCAAATTAATGATAATGTTTCTTCTACAAGTCTGAAGGAGCTTTTAAGGAAATACACAGTGTCACTGCTTACTTTCTTTTCCTAACTTGAAGATATAAATTTATTCTGTCCAAAGTGAAGGTGGGACTTGCCATCTGCTCTTCGAAATCGCGAAACACTCAACTGACATGCGGGTGATGCGGGTGATTGTAGCATAGTCCTGTTCTCTGACATACTTTTGACAAATTCGAATATCTTAATTCTAAGATGGTAGAAAGAAGATAAAATAAAGGGAAAGAGTTGGAGGGGACAGGGTGGACAAGCCCAGAGTGCTGCCATGAGTTTGTTGCCTAG